TGTATGTGTGTGTGTGTGTATGTGGGTGTGTGTGTGTGTGTGTGTGTGTGTGAGTGGGTGTGTGCGTGTGTGCGTGTGTGGGTGTGTGGGTGTGTGCGTGTGTGCGTGTGTGCGTGTGTGCGTGTGTGCGTGTGTGCGTGTGTGCGTGTGTGCGTGTGTGCGTGTGTGCGTGTGTGCGTGTGTTCGTGTGTGCGTGTGTGCGTGTGAGCGTGTGTGCGTGTGTGCGTGTGTGCGTGTGTGCGTGTGTGCGTGTGTGCGTGTGTGCGTGTGTGCGTGTGTGCGTGTGTGCGTGTGCGTGTGCGTCGCGCGTGTGTGTGTGTGTGCGTGTGGGTGTGTGTGTGTGTGTGTGTGTGTGTGTGTGTGTGTGTGTGTGTGTGTGTGTGTGTGTGTGTGTGTGTGTGTGTGTGTGTGTGTGTGTGTGTGTGTGTGTGTGTGTGTGTGTGTGTGTGTGTGTGTGTGTGTGTGTGTGTGTGTGTGTGTGTGTGTGTGTGTGTGTGTGTGTGTGTGTGTGTGTGTGTGTGTGTGTGTGTGTGTGTGTGTGTGTGTGTGTGTGTGTGTGTGTGTGTGTGTGTGTGTGTGTGTGTGTGTGTGTGTGTGTGTGTGTGTCTGGGTGTGTGTGTGTGTGTGTGTCTGTGTGTGTGTGTGTGTGTGTCTGTGTGTGTGTGTGGGTGTGTGGGTGTGTGGGTGTGTGGGTGTGCGTGTGGTGTGTGTGTGTGTGTGTGTGTGTGCGTGCGTGTGTGTGTGTGTGTGTGTGTGTGTGTGTGTGTGTGTGTGTGTGTGTGTGTGTGTGTGTGTGTGTGTTTAGCATGTTGACAACCACGAGACCGGAATCCCCGCTTACTCAATCCCATCCCGTGATGAGAATTATCATGCGTATCTACATATTGATATTGACATATTGTACGTGGTCCTTATATAGACAAGGGATCTATCAATCGGGGGTCTATGGACACAGGTTTAAGGTTTGGGGGCTCATCATCTTGAAGCTTTGCTGTGAAAAGGAAGGTCACTTTTGCGGACTGAAAGACTAAGCCTTAAGCCCTACAGCCCTGAAGATTACGTCTTGAAGCCCTGACCCCGAAATGCCATGCCCCAAGACCTGAACCCCCAAATCCTGCGCCCTAAACCTTAAACCTTAATTAACGCCTAACCCTTAACTCACCTGGAAGTGTCCGCGATAGAACGGAGCGAATAAAATCTTAAACGCCCCCCTGTAAAGCCAGTGTAGAGTTTAGGGCTCAGGTCAGCTCAACCCCCTGAAGCCGTGAAGCTTGATCCCAATCCTTAGCCAAAGCCGTAAAAAAGCCTGGCAATTGAAGGCTCAACCTTCAACAGAAAAAAACTACCACTTAAAGAAGGAAACCCTTAACCCATGAACCCTTTATCCACATAATCCTAAACCCCAATATCCTGATACCCTGATACCCCAGTATCGTACAGCCCCCTCATGCGCTCATACCCTAAACACCTGAACCCTAAAATCCCTTTGAGCCTTAGCACAACGCCTGTTGCACGAAGACAGAACCCCTCAAGTGCCGCTAAGGCCTGTACCATCCTCCAGTCGAACCTCAAACATGATATCAGCTTAAACAACCCTGATGCCCTGATACTCTTCCGGATTAGGATTTCGGGCTCCTTCCAGAGCCCTAAACCCTAAACACAACCCGAAACCCTAAACCCTAAACCCTAAACCCTACACCCTAAACCCTAAACCCTAAACCGAGCCCTGAGCTGCCTGGTACATGAAGTCCAGGAACGCGGGGGCCATGTCTGACGGGCGCTCGCCGAAGCCTTTGGGCGGAGGCGGCCGCCAGAGTCCAGCCGGAGGAAAGCCTGTCGAGGTCCACTTCCAAAAGGAACCGCTTAAAAGGAACCCATAAAATGGGCCCTAAAGGAAGCCCTTCAAAGGATCTCGTGGGACTTAGTAAGTAAGGTTATAAGCTATATAAGCACCTTAAGTGGAGTTGTCAGTAATACTGATACATTTATTACCTCGGGTAAAACCCTAATTACAAAGTCCAATGATCCTCTATAGACTCTATGCAGGGTTGCTTCGATCTAATGGGTCCTGTCTTTGGGCTCGGGGCTTAGCATTCGGAGGGTTAAGGGTTTCGGCTTTGATCTGATGAGATTCCCTTTTGGGCAACCTCCGGGCTTAAAGTACAAGCCAGAAAGTTGGAATATGGCTTCAGGGTAGGATACCCTATAATTTACCATAAAGGGTTTAGGATAATCATATTCCAACTTTCTGGCTTTTGCTTTAGGGTTTGGGAACCAGGGCTCGTTGGGTTCGGGGCTTAAGGTACGGGTTTGGGGTTTTAGGGTCGAGGTCGATGCAGTGGGAGCCGATTAGAGTGTGCTTGAGGGGTTTTCAAAGCACTTCGTGGGGTTTTCCACGGGTTGAGCAAAGAGCGTTATCGGGTCTGGCAAGGGCTTTGTCTTGTTGTCTTCATTATTTGAATGTTGTTTGGGGTATGGTATACTATCCTTGTTCATGGGGAACCAAAAATATCCTATCACCAAGTCTTTCCCGGGGCCCCTCACGGAAATGCGGAGTTTATCAGGCTTCGTGGATTTCGATTTAGGGGTTTAGGCTCAGGACGAAGTAGATGTTTGGGGCCCGAGTTCTCTAGTAAACTCCCAACCTTCAAACTTTAGACCTCAAATCCTTAATAACTTAAGCACGTAGGATCCAGTTGAACCAACTCTTCAACAACACTGCTCGAAACCCTGCCTTAAACCCTAACCCTCCCATATCCGGCCTGGAAGGTTTAGAAACTGGGCGCTGCGACCGACAGTTTGATTGGCAAGAGCGCTGGCCTTGCTTCAGAGCATCGTGCGAACATTCTAAGTCCCTGAGTGATTAGAATAAGGTTCCTTGAAAGATGACTAAATAGTGGCAGAGGGTGTTAAGAGGCCTTAACAGTCAGAGTAGGGCTGTGAGGGTACAGTATCAGTTGGTTAGTTAGTGTGAGCGGAAGGCATGCCGCAGGCACGCAACGTCAGGTTCACAGCTTGATTGCCAAAACGGTTTGAGGCTTTGGGTTGGATCAATCTCACGGGAAACACGAGCCCCGGATCGCTGTCTTGCAATATTTACGTACATAGACAGCCGCGAAGACGCTCGCGGAGGCAGTTAAGTACTACCCCAAGACCCAGAACCTCTAACAACAACATGATGTCGTGATGAATTGCAGTGCTGCAAAGCTGTACGCAACATTCTGGGAAGGCATGTCCAACCTCAACCCTCAAAGGTTTGGCTAGAGTAGCGACGATGGCTTCGACAACACAACTTGTGTTCCTACCATCTCGAGTTTTGGTGCCCATTATACCATAATCATAACAGGAAACCCCCAAGATAGTATTGGTAACTATTTTAGGCCTTGGTAGTATCTCGATGTGATCGTTTCGGCAACTGTGATTCACACGCCTTGCCGATCGAATCCTCCAGCTGTGCAGCCGTCAGAACCTTGCCAGGTGCAAGAAACTGATATGTTTCTGGTTTCGTGCTTGGGGTTTAGGGTGTCAGTCGTCCGTGGCAGGAGGGGGAGGGGGAGGGGTGGGCGTGTGCAACTATAGGCGACGACAGCCCGATACCTTGCCTATCCCTAAGTGCCTGTTGACTGAGAAGCAGAAACTTGTATGTGCAACAGTGACTGCAATGTCCCCATGACGATGTATCGGGACTGTTCTCCTTAAGATTCCTTAAGCCTTGTCTTACTGCATGGTTCGTCGAGACCTTGTGCATGATCTGAAAACGAGGCGAACAAAGCGTATGTCATCTGAGTAACCGATATCCGACATCCCAAAACCAGAATTGGAAAGATGCCAGTGACAACTTCTGCCTCTGAACAGACTGCGATTGCATAGCCAAGCACACAATAGCGACTTCCAGTTTTGCCCAGTATGATGAAGGCATGTTCAGTTCCTCTGAACTCAAACCAAGCCCTCGAACCTGAAACCCTGAAATAGAAATGGGAAGCGGCAGTGTAATGCTGTAAGGGTCCAAGAACTCCTTATTATAGGACGTTGGGGCCTTTTGGGGTACCAAAACCTATAAACATGGACTACTTGGACCCCCTTAACCCCCAAACCCCTAAACCCCTAAACCCCTAAACCCCTAAACCCCTAAACCCCAAACCCCTAACCTTAAACCGATAGCCCTTTAGGGGTACTGTAAGGCCCCGACAGCTCTCCTGGCGTAGTCGATGGTCAGTCGCAGCTGCTTCTGCATCTTGTAGGCCTGAAAGTCCACCTCTGCAAAGATGGAACTCACCGTCTTTCTGGTGTTGGGGTATTTGTTTACTGCTGTGCTGCCATAAGCAATGAAGCTCTTTGTTTTGGAGGGTTTAGGGCTTAGAGTTTAGGGTTTGGGCATTGGTGGGAGGCCAAGAGGGGGGTTTAAGATTCTTGGGGTAGGGATTTCCTTAATATGAACCCTACGGTTGATGATATAAATCCTGCATTACCCATACTAAGAAAGATACCATGGCTCCCATAGTTTAGGGTCCTTAGGGTAATGCAGGATGTATATCATCAACCGTACTATGGGAACCCTAATTCCTACCAAACCCGCATAGGCTAAAACCCCCTTTGGCCTCCTATGATACCTCTGCAAAGATGGAACTCACCGTCCTGCTGGTGTTGGGGTATTTTCATACTGCTGTGCTGCCATAAGCAATGAAGCTGAAGCTAAAAGCGAAGAGGACAAGTTGACGATGGTGATGATTGTGATTGTCATGGTGGTGCCGGCGGTGGCGGTGGCCGTGGTGATGATGAGGGCGATGCACGCAGGAGCCGCAACGGTACCGAGCCAGGAACTCGCCAGTTTGGGGTATTTGGGTACAGATGGGACATGGGGCTTTACGATATCGCGCTTCCGAAGCTTCCAAGGCAGGAGGAAATCCAGCAATTGTACACATCTGGCGCTTGTGTGATACTCACAACCGTCTTCGTCTCCAGGACGCGTCTGTACATCGTCTAGGTTAGGGAGGTCCTTTCCGGAGACGCTAATCTCATAATAATGTCGGAAGTGAATTCCTGCATGTACAATGGCTTCAAGATGCAACTTCAGAGACGGAGTTGCCATCAAAAGTAGGGATCGCTTTGGACTCGAATCTTTACAAGGCATTCGAAGCACTCATTACACGTGCAGCTGCCGGGCAACCGGATGAATGAATGGGAAGGGCTCGGAAGGTGCAAACCTGGGTTCTTGTTAAGGAATTGAGTTTAAGATACCATAATAAGGAAATCATATTATTTTCTATGGATCCTTATGATGGTAACTTAAAACTAAAACCCCTTAAGAAAGAGCCCAGAAACTTCTTGGAGACTTCTCCGGCCAAGTCCTCCTCCGGCCAAGGCAGGCGCTGGACTCCGGTGAAGTCGATGTTCTCCTTAGTCGCTGAGTTCATGAGCCCCCAAAAAGTGTACACTTTTGGTTTTATAGTGGGTAATATTATCCCAAAAAGTGTAAAGTGTATTCACTCAGCTACTAAGTCTCCATGTCCACCCAGAAGACGCTGGGATTGATGACGGAGTCGAAGTAATACTTGCCCTTGGTGTGATCGGTGACGCTTCGCCACCTCAGCTCTCTCCACGAAACACAGGGCTTGATAGAGGCAACTTCAACCATCCGGGTTCTGAAGATTACACCAAGTTCTTCCGCCGATAGTCTTGTTGTTAGGGTTTGGGTTCGTTTCAGGGTATGATGGGATCTTTTCGGGCTTTGGGAGTAGATCCCTTGAGTGGGACCCCTATAGAGCACACTTTCCGATGTAATTTGGGGATCTGAAGTTCAAATCACTCCTGGAAGTTCTTGCGTGAGTTGTCTCCAAGCGACCTCGTCGAGGCCAAATTCGGGTGGCGAGGATCTGCTAGACCCAGAGGCACGGAGATTGATCGCACCTATAAAGGGATCTATAGGGGTGCCTTTAAAGGGATCTATAAGGGTTCTATGCTGAACTTAGACGCCTGGCAAAAACTAGAATTTTAGCTCTTCCTTAGCAATCAAAGGAAGCAAAGATTGAAAGTTGTTGATAAGTACCCCCAAGGTACGAGGGAGAAGACAGTGGCCACTGCGAGCTGGGAAGTACTGGCCTGAGTCACGCACGAGCCGGCTTGCATCTCAAAGTGCTAGCTTCGTCTCATAAGGAAACTCTCCGGATGGTGCAAAAGGAAATGGCTAAAGCAGCTACGTCACTTTAGGAACCGCATGCAGGTTGAAACTCAAACGTGCGAAGCGGTCGGCCGCCCGATGAGTTCCTGGGAGAAAAGTATTCCCCCCGACTCCTTCCCAATAGGCTGTGAGCGCCAGCTGCTCGTCGTAGGGTGGCGAGTTGGTCATCACCTAGGATACCCAGTAACCTAATAATAAAAAGGCCTCCCTTTTTGGTATTGGGTAACGTTATAAGGAACCTAGGACTACAAAAAGGGAATAAGGGTACTACTGGGCCTTCCAGTCACTTTGTACTGGGAGCCATTGTGAATGACGAGGCGGCCGGAGATGTACTCGAGGATTGCAGACCCGTTTGAGGCATCTGAAAGGGCAAGGTGCGCAGCGGCAGCGTCTCCACTGGGAAGATCTGGTGCGATGATGTTCACGGCATCCGACTGCAAGGCCGCCACTGCTTCCGGAACCGTGGCAAAGGAGTCCAGCACGTACCTAACCAGCGGTTTTAGGGCTTTTCTCGGCTCTTTCGCTCCTTATTCAATAGGGACTATCATCATCCCTGGCTCCTTGGCTCCTCCAATATCATTTGATGCGTAGGTACTGCAGCCAGCCGCCGACGGAGAGTTTCTTCTGAGCATCACGGTGTTCGTTCCCATAATCCGACTCCACCAAGTAAAGGAGGCTACCGACCAGCCCCTTTTCATTGATGCCATCCACGGAGGCCATATCGTACATTGATGTCACCACTGAGTTCCACTTCGAGGTCCACTCAAGCGAACCGGGACCCACACCTCCGTCTCTCTTCATGTTTTTGGGAAAGGCCCAGATTTTGGCCTTCGTGGCCTCCGTCCAATCCATCGTGCGCCCGGTGTAGTGGTGGCCGGCGGCATCCTCATAGTATGCCCTGGAACACCCTTGAGCCAGGCTTGCAGCCACAGCCATCACCATAGCCCCGAGCACCATTGTGGCGTCAAGGGGGTACGTACTTTACAGAACGCGGAAAGCTGGACCACAGGCGAAGCTGAATGCTGGTGGCTGCGACGAACCCGGGAAGTGTAGCAAGAATCATATCCCCCTCAACACGACGAAGTGACGAGCATTGCCTGCTCCTTGGGCCTGTCAACCTGACCCTAAACCCCTAAACCCCGTTAGAATAGGGTTCCTTTAAGGGGCTCCTATAAGGGCTACTAGAAGGACTACTAGAAGAAGGATGTAATATGAGGGCCTTGATAATTAGAATAGGGTTTGGGGGTACATCATACTCTAAATATGGTAAGGAGCCCCCGAAACCCTATTCCAAGTATTTGGGGCCCCATATTAAGCCAATAGGACACATAACCAGTCGCGGGTAGTGCTTTCGAGCTGAAATATGGGGGGGTCGGGGTGGGAGCGATGTATCACGCCTGCACCGAGACATGTTGCAAAACTTCGAACTGCAACACCCATGCCCACCACTGCGGGTAGAAACTGCTAGCTCTAGAGAAGCAAGGCGTAAGAATGCAAACGAGCCCTGCGAAACACTTGTACCCCAAACTCTTGATTCCTTAACCCCTAGACTCCTAAACCCCAAACTCTTGAATCCAAAACCCCCAGACCCCTAAACCCTACGGAGCCCAGAACCCCCCCCCCCCCCCCCAAAACCCTCCGAGCTCCCAGCCTTCGGTGGGTCCCCGCCGCCGCCGCCTCCACCACCCAGACCCAGCATGCCGCCCAGGGCCTTTCCTGAGTTGTCTGGCTTTAGGGTTTAAGGGCTTTGGGGTTTATAGGGGTTTAGGCTTTTAAGGGCTTTGGGGTTTAGGGGTTTAGGCTATCTTAAAGGCCAACCTTTGGGGTCATAGCGGCCCCAAAAAAGTTAACCTTTAAGTTGGGACTATAGTATCCAAAACAAGCCTAAGCTTCTACTACCCCCAGAAAGGTAGGGGTTAACCGTTGGGATTGTAATACACCCCAAAACCCCGAAACCCTAAGGGTTCAGGTTTTGGGGTGAACCCTGAAATCCCTGAACCCCAAGACTCCCCCGACTCCCTAATGTAGGGGCCTTAATAATTACCTATACTGTTTTGGGGGTTCCTTATTATGATTATAGTATAAGGGGCTCCAAAACCCTATTCTGATTATTAAGGCCCCTATATTAGACCCTCGAAGACCCTTATAAACACTGAACCCTAAACCCCTAAAAGGTTAAAGCCTGACTTCGTTGCTACGAAGCTTCCGGTCTTCCCCAGCGACTTCTTGGATAGGAGCCCCTGAGCTGGTCTTTTACAGGGAACTCCAGAAAGTTGGAATATGGTTTCAGGGTAGGATACCTTGTAATTTACCATAAAGGGTTTAAGCTAATCATATTCCAACTTTCTGTCTTTGACTTTAAGGGTTTACGGCGTAGAGGCCTTGGGGGCTTGGGGGAAGGGTCTGGGGCTTTTTGGAAAAATGGCCGCCTGGGTTTTTTTTGCTAGTGCCCTGCGCGCTTTTCCGCAGCGCGCTTCGGCGCTCGCTCAAAGGAACTCTTCAGGTCTCGATTAATGGAAGCATATACCAGGTGTGGTCCTAGAATTCCTTTACCAGGGTTTTGGGTCCAATGGTTCTTAAAATGCCTTTGCGTTGTGATCTCGATCCAATAAGGCATTTTCATCCCTCTACGTCTGCCAGTAACGACTATTCTATCCTTGTAAGCAGCGGTAAACACTACATTGTGGAATGGATCTGAAATGTCGCTAGAGTAGAGTGTCTGAAGGAGCTTAAGCTGGGCGTTGTGGAGAAAGCTTGAGGGTTTTCTCGGGTTGTTGGCTGTTCTCCAAACTGTTTGGTTAGAGATTCTGGAGTAGTATGATGCCTTGATATTAACCACTCGTCGCAGGAAACGGAAGTAGTAGGCATCTACTCTGTCTATTTGTTTGTCTGTGAGGGTGAGGGTGTCGAGGCCGTAGGTTAAGGTGGGGATAAAGACAGACTGGAATATGCGGAGTTTGGTCTTACGAGGCAAGGAGCTGTTCCAAACAAGCCGGAGTTTCTTGTAGCTGGTTTCTGCTACCGCTGCTCTATGTCTAAACGCGGCTTCAAAAGGTTTTTCCCAGGCTATCATCGATCCTAAGTACTTAATTTGCGTTGTGGTCGGAACTGTTTCGCCGTTTTCAAAATTAAGTTTGGGTTGTGGTCTTCGAGGATCCACGAGAAGTTCTGTTTTTTCTTTATTCAAATGCATCCCGTGGAGCCTAGAACATCTTTCCAACGAATGCAAGATTTCTGAGAGTTGCGTTGTGGTCCTGGCGATAAGTAGCGTATCATCCGCATACTCTAGATCTGAGGTGGGGCGGGTGGCCGACCAAGTATTCCTAGCTATTCCTCTACTTGCTAGGTCCCAATCGACATCTTCCAAAATTACTGTAAGTACCATGATGAACAAGTACGGGCTGAGGGGGCATCCCTGACGAATTCCCGCTCCTACCTTACCTTTGGCGTTGTGGTCGTCAATTCCTTTGGTGATAAAGGTGGGATCCTTATAAATCGAGGAGATTACTGCTAGGGATTTGTTGGACAACCCGAAGCGCTGCAAAGCAATCAACATGGCGTTGTGGTCAAGTGAGTCGAATGCTTGTTTCCAATCCAGGAAAAGGTAGTATAAGGGATTGTTGGTCATTTCCGCCCATTCCATTGATCTTCTCAAAACACATAGGGGTTGTTGCGTTCCGCGGTGTGATCTGAAACCATACTGTGTACTGCGTAAGTTCTTCTCGTGAGTTGTGGCCAGTCTGGTTTGCAACATTGCGGCGAAGATTTTGTAGATTGTGTTGAGAAGTGAGATGGGGCGATAATTGGCAGGGTCAGTGTCCTTGCCTTTGCCTTTGTAGATTGATACCACTATGGCCTCTTTCCATTCTTCTGGAACTTCCTCGACGTCCCATATCTTGTTGTAAAATTCTAGAAGTAGTTTTTGATTATCGTCGTCTAAGAGGAGAAAGAGTTCGTTGGCGGTTTGGTCTGGTCCTGGTGCCTTGCGCTTCCTGAGCTTGTTGATCGCTGACTGGAGGTCCTCAAGTAAGAAGGGAGACTCGTCAGGTGAAGGAGGGCGTAGTGCGCGTTTTGAATTTAAGGCTTTTGATCTTTCTGTGGCGTCCTCGTGTACCGCCCATTGGGTGTTCTGCAGATGGTCTCGAAAGGCTTGGTGAGTCTTACTCCAGGGAACTGGTTTATTATCCACAACGAGGTGAGATTTTTTGCCTCTAAAGCCTGTCTTCTGGCGACGGACTGTGCTCCATAATCCTCTGTGTTCTGCGCTTGGGTCCTCCAGCAATTGATCGTGAACCCACTTAACTTTGTCTTTTCTTGCGGATCTTTTGGCAACGTTGCGCTTGTGCTTTGCGTTGTGGTCTCCCTGCGCTTCCGCAGCCCGTGCGTCCTGTAGAAGGTTGAGGGTAGATTCCGTGATCCATGGTGTGCGTCGTCTGCGCGTTTCGTTTGAGAAGGTTTGCGCAGCCGCTTCTTTTAGAACCTCTGTAAAAGCGTCCTCCCGGATTGGCGTTGTGGTGGTGTTGACATCTGGTTGCTGCGCTGTGGTTCCTTGTCGGTCCTTAGCCTTGCGTCCCTGATTGGAGAGCTTATCCGCTCTCTCGTTGCCTTCGTTGCCTTTGTGCGCTCTGATCCAATGGAAGGTGACGCGCATGGGCGCGATTTTGCAAAGTTGTTTCGCCATGTTCACAAGCGTTTTGTTGCGTTGCGCCCGCCACTTGCCTGTGATGACGTTCTTGGACCATTGGCTATCGGTGTGGATATGAACGTTATGGTATGAGTGTTGGTGGGCGTGGAGCAAAGCCTCCACGATAGCTGATACCTCCCCAGTGTTATTTGAGCCTACTCCTGCTCCCCTATACGCGTTGTGGTCAGGGTCTGTGATTACAGGTCCGTAAGCATCTTCCCATCCTTCTGAAGTACGCCTACACCAACCCCATCCGGCTGAGGTGTGTTTAGAACATCTACCCGAAGAGCCCGATCCATCCGTAAAATAGTGTATCGGAGCGGTGTGGTCTGGAGGGGGAAGGTTTCGTTCCGGGGGGTTTTCCTGTATAAGTTCTCCGAAGATGGCGTTAAACTCATGTTTTTCCTGTTCTGTAGGATTGTGTAGCTCAAGCTTTGGGGTGCGAGGGGGGCGTTGTGGTTTGGCTGCTAGGCGAACCTTAATCTCCGAAACCACCAGGTAGTGATCCGTGGGAAAACCCGTGTATAGCTTGGATCTGCATTGATGTACAGAATTAAGCCATTGTTTTCGAACGAACAAATGATCCAACCTCTGAAAACGAAGCGGGTCGATCTGCGGTGTGGTCTTGGGTGGGGGAAGTAGGTCCGGGAGATCTAGAAAAGATCTTACCGTAGCTGCCGTGGAAAGGGCAAGGTCCTTGTCAGGGTCCAGTTTACGGTGCAGCATGGTGTAGATCTGTTGCATGGGAAGAGGGTCCAATACAAACTGTGACCAGTCTGGGGGTGGAGCTGCTTTATCTTTGTAGGTGATATGATGGATGGGGTTAGGCGTGATCCAAGAGGCCGCCTCCACCATGCCTAGAAGTTGCATGGTTCGAACACACAGCGATCTGTTGGACTGCGCGTTGTGGTCAATGAACCTAGAACCTTTACCGTACGTAAATGGACCTGTGACGCCTTCATCGTTAGCGTGTTGGGCCTGAAACCTAACATTGAAATCGCCTACTAGATAGACCGGTTCGGGTTGGGGGATTTTGGCAATGTGTTCCTCGAGGCTATCCCAAAATGGGACCCGTACCTCTTCATATTCCAGTCCTGAGTGTGGGGCATATGCTCCGACAATGTGAATGTTACCGCCCTTTTTCCGAAAAGTCAGATGAAGCAATCTAGTAGAAACCTGCAACACATCTAAGAGGTGTGGTCGGAGATGCGGCGCAATGATTGCACCAACGCCTGCATACCTATCCTTTGTGTTGCCTGAAAGTATCACCAAA